GGAGGCTGGCTTGACATTTGTAGTGGAGCCTGTGAAGGGTGGTGTTACCACCTGGATGGCAAGGTATAGGGCGGGGGAGTGGTGGTGTTAAAAAAGACACCCAGGTTGAAGTACTCCAGTCACCATACCTGTGCCCTCGAGGCCTGTAGACCACAGGTAGTGTTGTGTCAGAGCCCCAGAGGTGAGAGCCAATGCAGAGGCCCACATCTGCTACTTGATGCAAGGGTCAGCAGTAGACCTGTGGTGACCCAGAGCCCAGAACTTGTCCTGTGTCTGACATGAGTCACCCCAAATAAAAATGTCAGCACCATACTGGCAGTCTGATCTCATCAGAGCTTGGGACAGAGCTCTTCTGTCTCCAGGCCCCTTAGAGACCTGGCCAACATGTATCCTGGAGCCTCTTGGGGTATGTGGTTACTCCAGGAGCAGGGTGATGGTGAGGGACATGGGAAGGGAATGTAGAGGGTCACTGAGCACCCGGGGAGCGGGAACAAGGCAGAACTGGGTCCTCTGCTGACCAGCCAGGTTCAGGTGCTCCTCCCAGGTGGTGCAGCTGGCCCTGGCCGGTCCCAGCCATTTTGAGGAAGGAACCTCTGGCAACCAGAACCCATGAGAGGCCTATTGCAGATCTGATGATAACTACCTGGATGCCCATAGGAAGGGGCACAGGGTCTGGGGCACAGGATCCAGGACAAGGACTGCTGGCATGGGTCTACAGGTCACAGTGATGTCATGTGCCTGCATTTTTGGGAGCCCGGGCTGGATATATAAATTTGGGAGTCATCAACCTGCTCTGTGGAAGGAAAAAGTTCAGAGGCTTCTGGCTCCCAAACTTCACTACCTTATTCTTGAAGTGTGAGAAGCCAGCTATCTCCCTTCCTAGCAGATGAAGGGCTGGAAAGCAAGAATTACTCGCTTGATGGCTTTGAGAACCTCTGAAGCTTATGCAAACTACAAAGACTTCTGAGACCTGAAAATAGAAACAGTTCTTAATATGAAAAACCACAGACCCAGATCTCCTTAGGAAGCAGCACCTGTGAGAGGAATATTTTCGTGTATGAGTCTGGACTCATCACATTTTCCCTGCTTCTTAGTGGGGTTATTTGTTTTAGTTGGCTATCTGTTTAGCCAGGGGAATAATTAATTAACAACGAAGTCTGCTGGAAACACACCACCCAGTGGCACTCAGTAAATATTTGACAATGCTGAAACTATTGTGTGTCTATACCATCAGACTGGAAACAAAACTGTCAAGTTTTCAGCAAGGCATTAGAAATTTGTCTCTCACAGATGGAAAAGCAGAGGGCCAGAGCAGCAAGGTGGTTTACCAGATGTCCATGGGGAGGTGGGCAAAGCTAGGACCTGGGCCCAGACTCCAGATTTTAAATGGATTCCTGGCTTTTCCTGTGTATTGCCCTAGTGTTTTTAAGAATGGCTGAATGCCACTAAGCTGCTTCAGATGTGTGAGATGTTAACTTTTCCAAAGAACAGCAAAATCTCATTATGTCAAAATAATTGGAAGAGTGGACAGGCTGAATTGATGATAAGTTTGAACTATTTCAAAAGATATTCAGCATTTATATTTCAAGGTCATGTAGTAAACTGGAACAAATAACTACAGAATGGGGCTAAGCGGAGATCTTGCTGAACCTGCCTGAAGGAATACACGAGAAGATGTAGAAAAAGCACATTAATGGCTTGCATGCAAGTGATGGCTGCTCAAGAAAGATATTTTATGCATTTGAGAAAGTCCTTTTTTTTTTTTTTTTTTTTTTTTTTTTTAGTAGGAGTCTCATTTTGTTGCCCAGGTTGGAGTGCAGTGGCACGCTCCCGGCCACTGCAGCCTTGACCTGCTGGGCTTAGGCAGTCTTTCCACCTCAGCCCTCCAAGTAAAGTAGCTGGGATTACAGACGCACGTCACCATGCCAGGTTAATTTTTTGATTTTATTGTAGAGATGAGGTCTCACCAAGTTGCCCAGGCTGGTCTCAAACCCAGGGTTCAGGCAATCCTCTTGCCTCAGCTTCCCTAAGTGCTGGGATTATAGGTGTAAACCACCACACTCGGCCAAAGGGAAAGTACATTTTTATTCAAATAAGTAAAATGTCTCCCTTGAAAACTTACTTTACATAAAATTTTAAATAGGAAGCTCTCACAAATTTAAGTGTCAATGTCAGTCCACAAGTTACATTTGATTTCGCTCCTTGTTGTTGCAGTGTTGTGTTCTCTATTTGTTGGGCAGTGTTTCTGTAACTCAGGAGCAGGGAGGCTGACATCTGTACCTCTCGCGTCCATCCTCCTGGATCCTCCAGGATGGAGTGGGCTGAAGCACCAACTTCTCTTCCCTCCTCCCCAGTGGTCTAGCATCTCCAGGATGCCTTCTGCAACTTGAAAATGGATGCGTTTTCAGGCCAGCACTCCCGCCCCTGCACTCCCACCCATTCTTGCCAGATGAGCCTGTGACCCTGTCACCATTTGTGAGAGGCCTCTGCACTTGACTGCCTTAGGTCGTTTTCTGTTCAAATACTAAACGTTTATTCCTTAAGATGTTTGGAAATGTTGGCCCTTGTTATCTCTGATTTTACTGTTTAACACTCGCAGGCACACTGTTCCTGAAGGTTGTCCGTTCTTTCTTGAAATGGACATCTTCCTCTTTGCTGTCTCAGAGTCAGGGCTGTTAACTGGCAGGCAACACGTGGCTGAGCAAAGTTATGGACTCACAGGGAGGCTGTCTGGGGACACAGTCTGTAAGCCCTCAAGCCCATCAACATGCTCAAGGCTGGGGAAAAAGGAAAATGGGGGTCTGGCTGGAGACGCATGAGGCTTTCCTTGCTGGGCAATTGTCCTGAATGTGGCTCAAAGATCCATATGTCTATAGGAAAAAAACTGACCAAAAAGAGGGCTACAAATTTCCTGCCATGTAATGTTACAGTCTCTCCTGATGAAATGATCTAAATAATTTCAAACAAAGCAAGGCAGGACTGCCTGGCATCCCTGGCTGGGACCTGTTGCTCCCCCCTCTGGAGAAGCTGGGGATGGAAGCTTTGATGCTCTCTGTCCAGCTTCTGTCTCCATTAGGGTCTGCATGGACTTGGCTGCTGCGCCCAAAGGTGCTTGGCTACAGTGTAAAGAAGTGTCAGGGCGTACATTGCAAACAGTTTATTCAGTGAGTCTGAGTGATGCCAGAGGTCGTTATTTTATGTCCTGCCCATGGGAGGACACTTCAGTTTTGTGAGCCATCTGTTCTGGTTCCCCCTTCCACCGAGAGGCTAAGAAGCTTGAAGCCATCTTTCTTGGCAGGCTTAGAGGAGCAAAAAGTGCTTTCTGACTTGGCATCCTGCCTTAGGAATCTCATCCTTAAAAGGGAGGGTTTGGACTTTTGATCTCTAAGGTTCTTCTGACTCAGATTTCATAAAACATCTTTACCAATGGGAAATGTCTGTTCAACACAAACTCTCAGGTATTCAATAAACCTTCCCTTTTAATGAACAAGATTTCTGGAAGTAAAATGAATGTGCTTGGAGGCAGGGCTTAAAATTTTTATAATTCAAAATATACCACCAGGAGGCAGTGTTGACGTACAGTTTAATTCAAGACTTTCTTCAATGTAGCTCTTTTTGAGGGAAATATTTTTTGACTAGACATAAGAATGATTAAAGGTCACAATATTTTGGTGGCAAGAAAGTTCCAAAAATACTACTAGAAGAATACACATTTTACCTAGTAATAGAATAGTAAGTCCTATAAAGTCTCTATCACCTATGAGTGAAGGTTTTAAATATTGAACTTGGCTTGAGAACATAAGAGAAACGGCAGACAGCAACTCTGTGAAGGACACAGAGGAGTTCACTCTTCCTTCACCTCAGCCACACATAAGCTTGGAAAGCTGTGCTGTGCTGTGCATTGGGGGAAGAGAGGTGGATTAACTCTCTTAGTAAGAAAGCTCTGGAAATTTATTTTCCTCTTAAATACTGCCACCTGCTCCTTTAAAATTCCAGCATACTGGTGAAGTAGGTTGTTATTTTTTTTAGTAGATGGAGAAATGGAGGTATAGAGATTTCATACAAGACTTAGCAAATTGTAGAACTACAGTAAGAATCAAGTACAACTAAGATAGTCTCATTGCTCTTCCTTTTTAATAGCTGGAAAAAAAATTACATTTTCAAAACAGCTCAACAAATCTGAGAATATGTAGAAAGCAGCATGACCTCTTTTCTAATACATTGGTAGCCTTGTTTATTCTGATAGTCTTGCATCTTCCGAATTGAGCTCTCACAGGAGAGTAGATATTACATTATCAGTCAAAAACATCATAGTTCTTAATCAAGAAAACCTGGATAGAGTGTGGAGAATCTCCCCTTTTTCCAAGCTTTACCCGGTAACTCAAGCTCATTCTCCTCAGTCTTACGGACTGGAGGCATTAGATGGATCAGCGTTGGCCAGGATGGGGTGGACTGAAGCACCAACTTCTCTTCCCTCCTCCCCACTGGTCTCTATCTCTCAGTGGTATAAGTGGGTCAGAAAACAGAAGAACTTGGGAACTCTGAGAACAGGATTCTGGGCTCTGGATGACCACTGAACAGGTCCCCTATGACTGGCATTCGTAAAAGAATAAACTTGAATACAATGGTTCCCAGATCTGAAGGGTCCCATAGCAATGTTTTTCAAACTGTGGGTCAAAACCCATTAACGGGTCATAAAAATCCATTTGAAAGGTCTCAACCAGCATGTTCCATTACTGAAATAGGATGGGAAGGAACAGAATAGAAAGTATCAGAATGGATCACACATTTAATTTCAGGGGTTGTATATTATGTGTTTTACCGGGTCATTATATAAACTATGTTTCTTGCTGAGAGTCATGTCCAAAGAGCTAGGCAGCTACTTTCCATGGCATCCTCCCTGTCCTGGCTGGATGCTGTATCACTTGTGATGGTCCATGTCCACCTCCTTGCTAGCCTACCAGCTTCTTGAAGCGGGATTAATGTCTGAATCACTTTTTCTGTACGGCAGCGATTTCTATAGTACCTTCTACATGGTGGGTGCTTAGTAAACCATACTTATTTTGCTACTACGTAAATTTCTGAAAGATACTTTAAGATTGTCAAGTGATATCTGTGCTTTTATCTCATAAAGCTAATGCAATTACATGTGTAGTTTGGCTTTAATACAAGCACTGCTTTTTAACCACTTTCTCCTTATTTGTAGGAACTATGACCCAAACATCGAGAATTCCACCAGAATCAGGCTTTGGGGGGCTACTGTGCAGATCTGAACTTCTGCTTTTCAAAGAGCTCTTTCAGCTGCTGCTCCGTGGTGGCTTCCTTCTGCTGCATCAGCTCAGCTGTTCCTTTGGTCACTCCCCAGGCATCCGGCTTTGACATGGAAGGATTGTATGGCCTGCCCGAGGCTATCCGGAGATTCTCCCAGTATTCCTTCCTGGCCCTGTGGGTACAAAACACATCAGACTCTTCTCGCAGTACTTATCTTCATGTCACAGGGCCATCTTTGGACTCTAAGAATATGTCTAGCAAAACATGCTCAGTAATTTGGCCTAAGACATATTTTCCCATAGAGCCTGTAGGTCTAAAATTATCTTCATTTCTTCTTTTACTCTGCGTATAGGGACCATTTAGAATAGGAACACTTTCTAGCCAGTTCTGCTCCCTCTCCATCCTGCATTCTCATAGGCCTGATCTCTGCCCCCAACTCTGCAGACTCTGCTGTCCCTCTCCTTCCTGTTTCTCTTGTCCCCTTCTAGCTGAGTCTCAACACGCTTATGTCCCACCTCACCAGGCTTCCTCAGTAGGCCATTGCAACCTGCTGACGTGCGCACCTGGCATCACCCTAGGTGCGGGACCCAGCTCCTCTGCCTCTGGGCCAAGGTCCCACACTCTTGAGCATGAATGGGGGCTTCTTCCTCCTCCTCCTGGGATGTCTTCCATCAAAATCTGTCTCTGGTATTCTCACACTTTCAATTTCTCGACAGGTCATTCTTTCCCCACCTCTCAGTGCTCTCCTGCAGGCTACCCCTTTGTCTGGCAATGCAACTCCTCCTTACTCAGCTCAGGCCTTGGGGTCCTTAGAAATCCCTCATGAACCCCCTGCCTTTGGCTTCCATGGGACTTTAGCTCAGGCTTGGCACGTCAGACTCAGCGCATGTACACACTTACGTCCTGGAATGTACCACATGCACTGAAACTTGCCCTGCTAGAAGGGACTGGGCTGTGCACCCACAGCAGAACCTCACAGAGAGGTGTGCTTCATTCATGTCTGCTGGGCAGAGTGGAACTGCTCCCTCTGCTTTGAGTGCCCGGCCACCATCCTCTTCCTTCTCTACCTGGTGGAAGCTTCCTTAGCCTTCAAAACTCAGCAAAAAACCCCTTCTTCTAAGTATCTTTTTTTTTTTTAAAGACGGAGTCTCACTCTGCCACCTAGGCTGGAGTGAAGTGGCATGCCCACAGTTGCCTCAACCTTGATCCGCTGGGCTCAGGCATTCCTTCTGTCTCAGCCTTCCAAGTAGCTGGAACCACAGCCACCCACCACCATGCCCGGCTAATTTTTTGATTTCTTGTACAGATGAGGTCATGCCAATTTGCCCAGGGTGGTCTTGAACCCCTGTGCTCAGGCAGTCCTCTTGCTTCTGCCTCCCAAAGTACTGGGATTGCAGGTGTGAGCCACAACTCCTGGCTAAAATGTCTTTTTTTTTTTTTGAGTTAGGATTTCACTCTGTCGCTCAAGCTAGAGTGCAATAGAACAATCCTGGCTCACCGCAGCCTTGACCTCTTGACCTCAGGGGATCTTCCCTCCTCAGCCTCCCAAGTAGCTGGGACTACAGGTATGCACCACCACATCTGGCTAATTTTTTAAATTTCTTTTTCTTTTCTTTTTTTTTTTTTTTTGTGAAGCAATCCTCTTGCCTCAGCCTCCCAAAGTGCTGAGATTACAGGCATGAGCCACTGTGCCTGGCCTAAAATATCTTTCCATTAGGCAAAGACAGTCATTCTCTTCTCATGCTACATCTTGCTCATACTTCTACCAAAGCAGCTACCAGAGCATGATACACTGACTTTCTTGTCTGTTTCCCCAGGAGACTGAGAGTCTCAAAGACAGGAGCACAGTTTCCTATTTCCATATGACCAGTGCCCGCCCAGTACTTGGCACGACATTGTTCATCGTTGACTTTTTGTCTCCCCTGTTGGAACATAAGCTCTGAGGGCAAAGGGCTTGCCGTCTCACGTGCCACTGCATGCCAGCCCTGGAACTCAGGCCTGACACAGAACAGACACTTCTTTATTATTTGTTATTCTTAAATTGTACTTAACTCTGAAAAGTCAGTGCAGTCCAATGTTGGTATCCACCACAGGGTTGGTGTTTTACTAGAGCACGAAGTCACATTTCACAGGGACACACGTTATTCATGTTCTCTACTCTTACAGCCATCTCCAGACATCACCCCACAAGGATGATTTACAAACATCTCTGTGAGAGAAGTCCAAGGTGACTGAGTCTTCTTCACCACACAGCAAATGGATTGCGTTCTTCTGATTGGCCTCACTTGGACACATCCAGAATCTAGTAAGTCCAGGTGAACAAATGTAGTTTAAAGGTTCCTACCTGGCTCTGATCCAGGGTTTGGTGTGCATGTCCAAACCACTGCCCCAGCTGCCGTGTTTTTCAGAAGCCGGAGGCAAAAAGCCCCTCTCTGGGGCCAGCTCCTCTGCAATCGCCCTGATGTGGTAGGGCTCAAATCCGCAGCACCCGCCGATGTACCTGACCCCCAGGTTGTAGGCCTCCCTGGCGTACTTTTGAATATCCCATCTGGTGGCAACTCTGGGCTCTAGTCCTGTAATAAATGGCATTAGGCCATTAAGCACCACGAATTATTTTTATTAAAAAATGCAAGATAAATAGCTATAAGTCTGCAATTTTCACCAAAGAAATGGTCAACATTACATTCTTAAATTGTAAAAACGACTAGTTGCTTTGTGTTTATATATCCACTTTCACATGCTGAGGCATCCAGCCTTCACAGTGGTTCCCAATGACCCCTGACCTCTGATACTCTCACCCTTGTTCAGTCCCCTCCTGAGTGACAGCAGGGCTGGTCTGGTGATCTGGAGAATACAGCAGAAGGAATGGTGCATGCCTTCAAAGACTAGGCTATAAAAACATTGTGGCTTCTGCCTACTCCTTCTTGGAGCACTCACCCTGGAGAGCCAGTGGCCATGCTGAAATAACATTCAGGCGTCACAGGGGAAGGCCCAGGAGGCCAGGAACTGAGGCCTCCTAGCGACAGCAAGACACTGACAATGACCCCCAAAAGCCAACTCAGTGAGCTCAGAAACTCACTAAGCTCCAGCTCCCATCAGGCCTTCAGGTGACAACAGCCCGGGCTGATGTCTAGACTGCTACCTCTTAAGAGACCCTGACCAAAACCACCCAGTCAAGCTGTCCCCAAATTCTTGACCCACAGAGACTGTGGGATAATAAATGTTTGTTCTGTAAAAACACTAAGTTTTGCAGTAATATATTATGCAGCAATAAATGACACTAAGGCCTTGCCACTCTTCCTCTGTGGCTCTTCCAGAGTGATGACATGTTATAACACCTTACTTGTCTAAAGGTCCCTATGGAACACAGGATATGGTACAAGGACCTTGGCATGGAATTAGACTGGTTGTGCTCTTCCCCTGCTGACCACCCTGGCAACTTCTCAGTGTGCTGATGGCTCTGTCCCTCTGCCTAGGCTGCAAGCATCCCCTCACTTCATCGGCTTGGTCTCTTCACTGCAATCTGTCACACAGCCACTCAGTGAAGGCATCTCACCCCCATCCCCAAAACTCTGGAGTAGCTGAGCAATATCCAAAATTGGAGAAAAGGACCTTGGAGATAACTGGCCTAAACTTCTTATTTATTTATTTATTTATTTTGGGGAATTGAGATCTAGAGGAATTCGAGGAATCGAGGACACATGTGACTCAGCAACAGAGCTAGAACCAGAAACTAATCTCTGCCGATTTCTCCCAGTAGGGCGACCCTCACACCAGCCTACAGGTATGACTAACTGGTTGTCTACATAGATACTGATACACCTCTGATTTCATCTTTAAGTCCAGAGGTCTTTTTTGCTGGCTGGGCCCATCTTTCCCTTTTACACTGTATATTTTCAAGGGGTTTGCAGATGAAGGGACGGAAACTAGGGATAAGAGATGAGGAGATACGCAGCCATCTCTCTACTACGACAATAGATCTCCGGTGTAGATTTATTTGAAATTTATCAACCAAAGCTACTGAGACTATACAATGTCTTTCTTACCAAAGGGGAACTCGGGGAGGTCGATAAACCCCTGTTTGTTGCAGTCAGGAGTGTGGTAGGCCAAGGGCTGGCTCATCAGGTGAGCTTTCAACCGGGCAGCCTCCAAGCCCTCTTTCATGAGCCTCACCGTCTGCAGACTAATCGTGGGGTCAAAGTGGCAGTTCACACCAACGATGGAGGCTCCTGCAGGCAGAAGAATATGATAGCGTTAGGAAAGGACCACTACCGGCAGGTCCAACTCTCCTCTCTCCAGCAGGAGGCCTTTATTTGGAAGGATGAACGGGAAGGATCACACTGGGTCCTTACTCCCACAAAGCTCTGCTGCTGAGTGAGGAGACAACTAGCAGGTAGGGAGTGCTTTCTGTAAAAGTGCTTTCAAGAGCCTGGTATAACTTAAGTGTCATTTATACACACTTGGCTGTCCATCTTTTTTCAAAGAAATCATTATTCGAATTTTTTTTTTTTTTTTTACTTCAGATTTTAGTCGTCAATTTTTCGATGCTTGACATCATGCGGCAAGCACAATTATTTGTCAACACTTCCGGCTGCTATATTGCACTTGTGTTTTCCATATTGCTCACTTGAGGTGTGAATAAACATTCCTTCTCACCAGGCCAATTTAATAATTCCAGTAGTCTTCTTGGGCACAACAGCAGAATGTAGCTAGTAAAAAAGATTTTCAGAAATGCATTTTCTAAGGCCAGGTGGTGACTCACGACTGTAATCTCAGCACATTAGGAGGCTGAGGCAGGAGGATGGCTTGAACCCAAGAGTTTGAGACCAGCTTGGGCAACATAGCGAGATCTTGCCTCTACAAAAAAGTAAAAAAAAAATTAGTTGGATGTGGTGGTGCATGCTTGTAGTCCCAGCTACTCAGGAGGTTGAGAAAGGAGGATTTCTTGGGCTCAGGAGGTCAAGGCTGTGGTGAGTTGTGACTGTGCTACTGAACTCCAGCCTGGGCATCAGAGTGAGACCCTGACTCAGGAAAAACAAAAAAGAAATGCATCTTCTAGAAGAAATTCTGTGTCTAAGATTAGTAGTGCGAGGGGAAAAATCTCAAGAATCCTTTGACTTCAGCTACTCCATGTGGTTAACAGCTCATCATTGATCCTGACAACCTTTTCAACTATAGTTTCACCTCCCCAGACTCACAAGTGTATGAGATTGTCTTCCTAAGGCTGACCTGTAAAATGTGCTGCTCAGAAGTTTAATTTAGTGAGAACAAAATGCTTTAGAAAGCTCTTTTTCCCCCAAAAAACTTTCTTCATAGTCATTATGTTCTTAACCATATCTGCACCTAAGATGATCTATCATGGTAATCATTAGATATGATTTTGGAAGCTTCTTCCTCTAGAAGATCTGAAGAGGCAACATAACATTCCACCTCTCCTATGCCATCCTCTTAAAATGGAAGGGATTTCCAAAGGGGACATTTCTTTCTTTTCTTTGAATTTAAAAAATCGTGGTAAAATATATATCACATAAAATTGGCCACTTTAATCATTTTAAGTGGCATTAATTACATTCACAGTGTTGTGCAACCACCACCACCATTTCCAAAATTTTTCATCACCCCAAACAGAAACTCTGTGCCCATGAAGCAATAACTCCCTATTTCTCCCTTCCCCTCTGGTAATCTCTAATCTACTGTCTGTCTCTGTGGATTTGCCTATTCTAGATGTTTCATAAGCGAAACCCAATAATATTTGCTTTTTTGTGACTGGCTTACTTCACTTAGCATGATGTTCCCAAGGTTCATCACTGTTATATCATGCTTGAGAACATAATATTTTCTTATGGCAGATAATATTTCATTGTACAGATACATCACATTTTGCCTATGCTTTCATCTGTCAATGGACTCTTGGGTTGTTTCTACCCTCCAAAACACCTTTTTTTGATGAACTCATGGCCTAGGACTTTGAGAACTGACCAACAGTAGAGATATCAAGAACAAAGGCAGGAAAGATTCTTTCTGGATGCAGTGAGTGTGACGCCAACATTCAGCTTCCAGAAGCAGCAGAGCCAATGCCACAAATGGGGGCAGCTCGTATTGAATGGTGGGCATCTTGGCGGCCCTTGTTGGGTCACTCTTCATTCTTGTTCCAAATAAGCCTCACCCTCTGTAATTCCTCCAAAACAGCTCTTGTCAAGATTGCCATTGCCCTCAATCTAGCTGAGTCCAGCAGTGGTTTCTCTGCTCTCACCTTCCTGAATGTCTCAGCAGCATCCAATCTGGAGTGGAGGACCACCTCCCCCTTCACTCTCCCCTTCTCCGTTCTTCTGAGACCACCCCCCCACCCCACCCCACACTCTCCTGTGTTGTTTCTACCTTCCAGGTGGATTTCTGGGCTGGCCCCTCCTCAAGATTGAAAGTCTCAACTGCAAGATCCCAGGACCTCACTGAAGCACCTTCTCTTCTTCACAGACACTTCTTTTTCAGACCCAGGCCTTCCCTGCCATCTATATCCAGATCTCCCAAATTTTTCTCTCTAGACCTGACCGTCCCATTGATTTCCAGACTTGTATATTCAATAGTTTACTTAATGTCTTCCCTTAGATCTTGACTGCCTTCATTATTATTATTTTTGGATGTCATGCTACCTGCATTTCTCTTTCCTTGCTTAACTTCATTACACTAGTGAATTGGTCACTTGTTGGCTACATACAGGATGTCTGTTAGGTGTAGGTCTCTTGCCAGGGTGATGGAGAAATATTAACATTATTAGGACATTTCTCCCAACATTAAGGATTTTGAAATTTAGCATAGGGTTTCCCAAAGTTTGATCCATGAGAATAAGGTCTTACAATTAAGGTAAGAAGTCACTATTCACTGCATCCTCTTCTTGGAGACTGAGAATATACATAAACATATCAAAGGTTTTGATAAATTTCACAGCAAAGATACCTGCTTCCTTTAGTTTAACACTGCCTGTTCTAAATATATTTGGCCATAGAACCCTATTAACCTTCACACAGACTGGAAAATGTAGACTGAGGATTTCCAAGTGAGTGGTACAAACAGCAAATGTTCAGCAAGGAGAGGAAATGATCACTTGGGGGTAAGAAGGATCATGCAGGGATACATGGATGTATAATCTGAGCTAAACATTGGAAGAGAGACTATATTTATTAGACAGATACTTATCAAGGATCTAGTATGTGCTACACACTATGTCAGGCACTGGGTACTCAGTGCTGAACCAAACAGACAGAATCTCTATGTTTACAGGTCTTAAAATCCAATGAGACAGTCAGACATTAAACAGATAAATGAACAAGATAAATCAGAGTTTCATAAAGAAAGTAAACAGGATAGAGTGATATCTCACCAGAGTGAGGGGATAATATGATACAGCCAAGCCTCCACACTAGTAAACAATGGAGATGATGGCGGCCTCCTCTGATCTTTTGATTAAAATGTTATCTTGCTTTTCCCCGCATTTTTATACTTCCATTCAAAAATTAGGATTATATGATTTCATTCCTAGATCTAAATATTTTTTATTGTTAATGACAAGTATGAAAGTGACTTTCATGAAAAATCAGGAGCTGGATAAAAATCAGAGATTAAACAGATAGCCAGTCAGAATGTCTCTATTACACAAGTGAGTTGGGCTTTTTCACTGACAGTTATTGCTTGGGTTTAAAAAGAGGCAGTTAAAACATTTTTTTAAAGATTTTTTTACTTTGCACATTACAAAATATAAATTATTTAATAGACAGACAGAAAAATGAAGTAGTTTTGGAAACAGTTTGTGAATTTCTCCTAACTGAAATGAAACCCAATATTCAAAATGGAAATCACATAAAAAGATATATTGGGTAGTCAGTAGTTGATATCAAATAATTTTCTGATTTATGATTCCAGTTACGAAAAGCAAAGTATAATAGCAATTTATGAGAATGAAAAATTTTGGCGAAGAAGACAACTAACTTTAAAGGTGTCAATGTTGAAAGACCTCATTTCTAGATGTTAAACCTCTAACATAGGTCTAGTTGTTCCTTACAAAAGATTGTGTGTGCTTGTGTATATATTTTTAAGCTTCTTTTTGGGAATCAATAATAGTATTATCCATATCCCGAAAGAAGTAAATGAATGGTTTTCCTATTAACACAAGTATCTACACATATTCACAGATGGATGTGCTTTGGTGTGTTATTTTAAAACTCATGAATCACAAATGGATTGCAAGCCACCGTCACCTGCTTTCACCAGGCGTACTGCACACTCTCCAGGGGGCACGCCGTGTAGATCTCCCTCGGGGCCAATGCACATAGTTGCTGCCACTGGTTTACCAGATGCTTTCAAGATCTCCACTGCCCACACAGCTTCTTCAACATGCTCGAAATACTGAAATGAGTTAAGGTGAGGGCATTTTGCATGTCATTTCTCCAAAACAATTTGAAAACTTACTCTATTGATTAATAACTTAAATATCACTAAAAAGGTGTCTTTAAATTTTGAGTCCTGACCCATTTACTTTTTTAAAATTTATTTTTATTTTCTGTTGCCCAGGCTGGAGTGTAGTGCAGGCTCACGGATCACAGTAGCCTTAAGCTCCTGGGTTCAGGCAATTCTCCCACCCCAGTCTCCTGAATATCTGGGACTACAGGCACGCACAACCACAGTCAGCTAATTTTTTGATTTTTTTATAGAGATGAGGTCTCACTATGTTGCCCAGGTTGGTCTAAAACTTCTGGACTCAAGCAATCCTCTTGCCTTGGCCTCCCAAAGTGCTGGAATTAAAGGTGTGAGCTACTGTGTCCATCTCATTTACATTTTTAAAACAGAATAGAATGGTAATTTCTTACTGTGAGTTGCCTTCAAAAAGTTTGAAAAACACTACGTTACGTTAACTGAATCAAATTTAGCAGAAGCCCTAAATTGAAAAAGATTTCAACAATGAAATATCACGATTCTAGTTATGACTGGCTCCTGCCCCACACAGTCCTCAGGAAGGCAAAGGGTGAGGAAACACACTCCATGTATCTGTCTTGTCTTTGCTCACGTCTTTGTTTACCTCTGCAATCAAGAAGTCCACGTTCTTCTTTATGAAAACCTCCAGCTGTTGCACAAAGATTTTCTTGACTTCTGCTTCGCTCTTGCAGCTAAGGTACGAAGGTGTCTGACTCACGCCACCTGCCACCAAAGCATCCCCCTCATCAGCCACCTGGCGGGCAATGTCGCAGGCAGCTTCATTGACTTTCTGCCCCTGAAATGGGTAAATATATGCGACATCTGAGTTTTCATGTGAAATGAAAACAAAATTATTACTCAAACACCCACATCTCGTTTGTATATTCACAATAGTGATTTTATTCCAGAAAATGACAATACAGAATAGTTCAATGCTTTACCAAGTTGAGCAGTTCTGCAGCAACAGTACTAATAGCAGTGATAATAACACTGATAGATCTGATGGTGGCATCTAGGACATTACATTATACCACGTGTGAGATAGCAAATGTTTTTACATAAAAGGATGTGTTCTGGTATCTTCCAGTGCCTAAGCTGCACTTAGAAGAGTACTTGTCTCTCACTGTCATATTATTAGAAATAAAAGAAAGTCCTGAAGAGGCTCCAATGTGTTTCTCACAAAAGCTCTGGCGCTAATGTCTGTGTGGCTCTTTGGGGCCGGTGCTGGCTCTACTCACGGAAATCTTCTCCAGGACGTAGTTGCCCCTGTTCTCCAGCTTGTCCTCACTTGCATAGAAAGTGAAGGTCTGCATGACGTTCGAGCCGGCCCTGAGGAACTCTCGATGAAGCTGGCAGACTGCGGAAGAAGACAGAAAGGTATGATTTCCACCAGGAGCTCTACCCACCATGCTTTCAAATGATTCTCAGACAAACAAACATGAAAATGACTGCTTGAATTTCGGGTTGCCTTCGTCCACACACATCCAGGGTTGACGAGGGGTGGCGTGAGGTCTCTCGGCCACTCCTGCACGCCTGCGATGCCTAGAAGTTTGGGCGTCGAGCCCTCGCAGTCCTGGACTGGCTCATCGTGTGGTCATGCTGGTCATCATTCACTGGCTGTATTTGTGGAAGGCACTCACGGACACAAGGATAAACACTGTTCTGCCCTAGAGAACTTCCTAGCCCACCCAGAAGGGACTGGCTACAGCACTGTGTGGCTGGACTTTGTGGGAAGAAGAGACCATTTCCACCGAGGACATGGGGCAAAGAAGTGAGGAAGGCCCCACAGAGGAAGGGTCATGTAGCTGCACCAGGAAAAATTCAGCATTGCTGCCAGGCAGAGAAGGTGGGGAAGGAAATTCCCTACAGAGGGAATGGCTTGTGCAAAGACCATGAGGCAGGAATAGGCTTGGCACTGGGGGAATGACAGTCTGAGGGTCTGGTGTTGAGTATCGGGGATATATCTAGTTCTGAAGCAGCTGAGTGATTTGATTAGCCTAGTGTTTTTGAAAGATAATCCTGGTAGCAGAGGGAATAAGGATTGGCATAAGGTTCCCAAACTCAGGTCCATGGACAAATGCCCAGTGGCAACATTTCACCAGCCAGAGGACATACGGTGGGACATTTTTTTCCCCACATGGTTAAATATATTAAGAAATTATCCTCTGCTCTGTAATAGTGGTCTTAAGCCTGGTTGCCCATTTGAGCCCCTGCAAGCTTTAAAAAAATTATGGATTTGTGGGTGAAATCCACAGATATTCTAATTGAACTGGTTTGGGTTGGGCAGAGGCATTGGTATTAAAGGTTCCCCAATTAATCCTTGTCTTCAGCCTTGCTGAGAACCGCTATCCTAAGATGGGGGGAAAATACTCATTTTATAAAATGATGATGAGACTTGGATGGTGTTTGTTTTAGTCAGGGGAATTGACTGGGCAAAGTAGGAAATCAGTGTCCTGTGTCAGCAGCCCCTGAAGTGCATTTTGAAATTTCAGAGGCCGATAGAATACAAAAGGCCAGGAGCACCTAGAGCAGATGCTAGGAAAATACTAGGGCACTGGGGCTCTCAGTCCCTCAAGGGCTAAGACTGGAGATAAGTCTAAACTCATCTCTTATATCCCAGGGCACTAGCAGAGTGCCCAGGGACACAAAAACCTGTTTTTGTCTTTAATGAACAAATTAGGGAGGCAAAAAGGCTTTTAAACTTTTGGACATGGGTTTCTAAGCTTGCAGCCAAACCTTTTCCATGTTTTTTGAAATCATGGAAACTATAGTTCTCAATGGGACCTTAAAAGTATGCCCAACTTAGTGGACTTCAGACTTGTTTCAATTACTAATAGAACCAATAAAAAACATACGATGTCCCATGTACCAGTGAGACACACTCAGAGCTGCTGTTGGTGGAGAGGGTGAGGGCCTAGATCCTGGTTCCTAGACATAAGAATGAAATGGTTTATAACCAGGGTGGATTTCCAGAGATTTAAAAAAAAAAAACAACAACCCTGAAAAGGCACACAAATTGTTTGTGTACATGTACATTTTACCATGCAGAAGGTCCAGAAACTTTTATCAGATTTTCCAGAGCACAATGGCCCGAAACAGTCAATCAACTCTTCACTCTTAATTTGATTCTTTCATAGTGCTTCTTAAAACTACAGCGCTAACTCTCCTAACACTATAAGAAAGGGATTGGCAGTAGTGGAAACTGCCAGGGGAGGGTGGGGGGGAGAGTAGCAGTAGTGGGAAACTGAGGGTGAAGGGGGGGAGCCTCATCAACAAGGGTCCCTGCATAATGAACATTTGTATGCCTAATCCTGAATTGCACCCCACATCTTTAAAACAAAAAATTTAGAAAAAGAAAGAAAATACTGCAAAGCTTCCCTAAGTATGACCCTCCTTAGCAATGCCTGGGGCAATTATTATAACTGCAGATTCCTCAAACTCCTTTAGAATCAAAGGGCCTGAATTCATTGCTGAATTCAATGCTGCTTCCATAGGGTATAAGTACTTTGGGCATAAACTTTAGCAGGAGAATTAGGCTGATAACTTGAGGATATCCTTTCAACTTTTTTTTTTTTCTTTGAGATGGGGTCTTGCTCTGTCACCCAGGCTGGAGTCTAGTGGCGTGATCATGTCTCGCTACAGTCTGTACGTGCTAGGCTCAAGTGATTCTCCTGACTCAGCCTCCAGGGACTACAGGTGTATACCACCATGCCCGGCTAATTTTTAAAATTTTTTTTGTAGGGATGGCATCGTCCTATGTTGCCCAGGCTGGTCTCAAGCAATCCTCCTGCCTGAGTCTCCCAAAGTGCTGGGATTACAAATGTGAGTCACTGTGGCTGGCCTCCTTTCAACTTATATTTCTTGTTAAATAAATAAATCTCATAGCCGGGCTCGGTGACTCAGCCTGTAATCCCATGCCTTTGGGAGGGTGAGGTGAGTGGATTGCCTGAGCTTACGGGTTCAAGACCCGCCTGGGCAGGCGAGACCTCATCTCTACAATAAATCAAAAAATTAGCCGGG